AGACAGGTGCACTTTAACTGTAGAGGCCAAAGAAAGATTTGAATATCCTATTACCGTGAGTCCCAAAAATGCAGCTACTTCCTTTTATGTCATTACTTTCAAAGTCTGAAATGCAAATTCTTTAATTTCAATATAGTTGAATGGAAGCAGAACCAAATGAGTGCTTTTTTCCCAGCAATTTTTCTCATAAACTTTGCTATTAACGTTTTGTTTTAGAATTTTTTCAACCCTTGGCACACACTTGTGCTAGTATGCATGTAGCATTCTTTTCTGACTTAATCTTCATAGTGGTATTGGCATTTGGTAACTTTTTAAATTATTTTACAGATGGAAAAATAAATCTAAGGATATTACAATGTTAAGTAACTTCTTCAGGGACACACAGCTAGTGGGGGTTGAAATTTAAACCTACCATTAGAATGAACTGTGCTTTGTTCTGCTTAATTACCTAGTTGCAGAACACTGTACTGAGGTTTTGCTGAAACTATATCAAATCTAAGGTAGCTTCTAGGTTTAACATCATGGATATATAACAAACAGCTGTAGAAGGAAAAATTTATAGAAAAGACTCAAGTAATTAAATAGACATTTTCATTAAAGAAAGTTTCTATGTTTGTGGTTTGTGGGATGAAAAATGTGAGAGTTACTCATCACTCATCAGCCTTGGGAAGATGATTATCATTGGCTTCATTTCTGGAAGACTTTAATGTTGGAGATGAGATTTAGAAAACCTTTGAAAAAGAGAAAATAAGGTAGACTTTAAGTAAAAGGTTGTTCCAAGAATAATGAATGGCATGAGTGAGAATATAAGTGAGAAAGGCATGGTAGGGAATAGGGTAGGAGGTGAGAGTATAGAGGGAACAGTGGGTTCTTTACTCCTCCACACCTTGTATGTGATAATTAATCTAGAAAGACAGAAGAGAAAGGAATGGTGAGAAAGGGTGGGCAATTACTTAGGCAATCTAGGGAAGCCCTTGAATTTGATCCTTAGAGACAGGGCAGAGAAGGAAAAATTTCATGGCCTTTACCGCAGTCAAGGAAACAGGTTCTAAAAGCAGAACTTGGGTCTGTGATTTGACTGGGTAGCCAGAAGGAATGAACAGTTATAGGAGATGTATTAAGTCCAAGTATTAGGCCACATTCATGGAGTAATATACAGAAAACATGAAATAGGCTGCTCTCCCTGCAAGGGCTGAATTGCCATAGGATAGACACTGCAGGAAGAAACTCAGCTGTAAGAAGCAAAACTTTTTACAATGAAATATAGCTGGTTAAAAATATATTATAAGTAGGCTATAAGCAGAAGCTCCTCCACACCTAACAATTTAGGTCAATTCTATTAATCCCTAAGACCAAGTTCCCTAAGGCTGGGAATTAGTTAGAAATGCAGAATCCCAGGCCTCATTCCAGACCAATTGATTTGAATCCACTTTGAGAAACATTGCCCTAAACTCTCTTGTTTCTAACATCTCTCATCTATAAAGCAGGGATAATGGCTTCAGTATAAGGTTATGTCAGAATTAAATAAAATAGTATTCTCCAAGGGTTTAGTAGGATATTTTGGCATAGTGGGTGTCATATAATTGGGAATTAATGTATTAATATTAGTAATAGTATATATTGAAGAATTACTTTTTTAAATCTAAAATAGAATTTATGGGTCAGGTACAGTGGCACATGCCTGTTTCAGCACTTTGGGAGGTTGAGGCAGGTGGATCTCTTGAGCCCAGGAGTTCGAGCATGGGCAACATGGTGAAACCCCATCTCTACAAAAAAATAAAAATAAAAAGTTAGCTGGGCACGGTGGTGCACACCTGTAGTCCCTGCTACTCAGAGGGCTGAGGCAGGAGGATGGCTTAAGCCCAGAAGGGCAAAGTTGTATTCAACCATGATAGTGGCCCACACTCCAGCCTGGGCAACAGAGCAAGATCCTATCTCAAATAAATAATAACACATTAAATTTAAAAAATGAAATAGGATGCATGTTGTTGTAAAGACTAGATAAATCCCACTTCAGAATTGGGCATTTTAATTTCTATTCCATACACAGAGTTTCACCATGTAGGCTACCCACTGTTTATAATTCGACCTACATTTAGTAGAAAGTGACCAGGTAGAGGGATTGATTTTGAAAGGTTCCTTGATTGGCTGAATTTTGCTGAAGGATTTTTATTACATGAGGTTTCTGAATCATTTTCAGTATTAGTGCCTAAGAAAGGGAATTGTGAGCAGAAAAACTAATTGCCAGATTAATGGAGTTCTAATATGTAATGCAAATATTACGCTAATGAAATAGAAGTGCAGACCTGCCCTTAATTACTCAACCCGTGTCTCTCCTTGGGACATGCAAGTGTTTGTTTTATTGCTCAGCTTTAATCTATCCTCACTATTCTTGATCAGGTTTGCAAATGGGTTCAAAAGACCTTTAGGCCTGACAATATTTTAATCAACCTCAAAATCTTTCCTGTTTCAGCAATATTATATAAAATCACAGCACTCTGTATTCCCAGTCCACCTTCCTGTCTGCTTTTTCTTATCTAAATAGAAACAAACTATTTGCAACAATGCAATCTGTAAACTAGACCGTATCTCCAAAGAGAGTCTTAATCCTGATGCCCTTACAAAGGAAAATGGGGCTAACATAATGACAATGCTGCTGCTGATGAGGATGGTGATGATGACAATGACAATTATAACTACAGAAATAATAACTTCCAACATTTATGGTGTGTTTAATTCAATCTTCTAGTTTGGAATACTATTTTCACTCCCTATTTTTATTTTTAGTGGAAAACCTCTCCTGAATTTTAGAGACATATCCAACTGCCTACTCAACATCTTTAACTTGGATATCTGTGAGGTATCTCAAACCTAATTTATACAAATAATTGGCTTCCTGTAAGATACTGGCCCTCCCATAATCACTCCATTTTCATAAATGACACCTCCATTCTAAAAACAAAAAACAAAACTTGAAGTCATTTTTTTTTCATATCTCATCCCATTTGTCAGCAAATCCTGCCAGTCTTGTCAGTCTGATGTTAGCAACAACGTGTTTCCCCATTGTGCAACTCACAATGTTGAGTTTTACAGAAGGAATTTTTACTTATATCTTTTGTGCCATTGGGATATCAAAATAATTTTTAAATTATGAGCTGCATGGAATCTACCAAGGAACAAAGGTGTCTTCAATAGTCACAATTCAGAAAATAGAAAATGTAATATAGAATGTGCAGGCACCATTAGCAATTAGTAATAGAAAAAAAAAGATTCAGTTTAAGTAATTTAGTCTTCAAGAATTTCCTGTAGGCCCAGAGTATTCTGAGTGTGTGTACACATGTCTTGATAGTAGAAAAGAAAAGTATAGAAGTGTTTGGGAACTCAACAACAGTTTCCAATGACAAGCACTTATTAAATACTTAATGCTTGTCTGGTACTATGCATTAAGGAAATGGAAATACAAAGATGAGTGAAACAAAGTCTATATCAAGGAACTCTGACTCTAGTAAGAGAGTCAAGGCAGTAAATAGTTTAAATAATCATTAACTCATCATCACAAACTTACTGTAACTGTAAACAGAGCACTATTCATTGGTGGAAGCAGCTCCAACGGATGTGGAAGTGAGTCAGACTTATATGGTAAATTTTCAAACCCAACCACCATAAATAATAACAAACATCACACAGAGCTTGTGATTTATCATATCACATAACTGTTCATATTTCTTGGAAACCAAGGAAAGAGCTCTGAAAAGTCTAAGGAGTTATCTTTTTATATCTCCACATACCTGATATAGCAATGTTGCACTACAAAATGTCACCTCATGGTGAAAGGGTTTCCAGAACTAATGTTAGATAAAAGTCTCTATTAGGTTTATTTCCCAAGAGTGTCTCTTGTTTTGGGTGATCCATTCTTTAAAGACATGAACATTGCTTTGGGTTTTTCCAGAAAATCAAGTAAGCTACAGAGTGATATAGTGCTCGGAACACTAAACTCCTCATGAGTTCAATTCAAGAATGACATAGGAAAGATGGAGCACCAGGACACAAGCCAAGCTTTGGAAACTTTTATCATACATTCAGTTATGTTTTAAAATACATTTATCACTGACAAGAAAATGTTTCTACTAAAATACAATCATCATGGAAACTAACAGTCATAAGACAAGCCACTCTTTAGATTAAATAACAATTTTTATTCACCAAATATGTATTGCGTACCTACTATGTTCCAAGCACTCTGAAGGGATACAGAGATTAAAATAATGGTCCCAGTGATCCAAAAATTGATAGTGAAAAACATACTGTTAAATAAAACAAATTAACACATAGTTGGACAGGTGTAGGTACACAGTGTAATAGATGGTCTATCTCAAAGCTTCAGTGAAACTGAGTTTGAAAAATGGAAAACAGTTAAGCTTGTAAATAATAGAGTAGCTGATCTAGAAAAAGAGAACAGTATTTTTAAAGGCATAGAGAACTGGAAAATTCGCTGAGTGCAAATTCCCTGTTTTCTAACATCTGGCCTTCCTTTTTAATTGTTGCCTAGTTATGACATTCAGCAGAAATAATAGCCATTGGGCAGTCAGAATGATTTGTTATGGTAAACAGAATGGGAGGAACTCTTACTCCCTGTCTATGTATATGAGGCTATAGTTTTAGTACTAAATTATATTTTTCTATCTTAGGTAATAGGCAATATTTCTTAAAAATATTATTTTAATTAATTTTGTGGATTTTTGAAACTAAAGGATATAAACGAATACTGACTCAAATAAAATGTTTTAGTAATTTGTAATTATTTATTTATTCATATCACAAGTATGATTGTAGGGCTTGCAGAAAACCACTGTGCCAGACTTTATAGATACAAGGATAAATACACATTCTTAACCACCAATACTCAAAAATCTAATGGGTTTTTAGATACATTTAAACAGATAAACCTTTTATGGATTTCCAGTCTTTAATCTGTTTATTTGTAATCTTTTATCTTTCAGATAAAAGTGTGACCAATGCAAGAAGAGAAGTAAATTGGTAAGAGAAGCACAAACGAAGCTGATCTGACAAGAATATACAAATATGGGAGAAACAGTGAAATCTGACCTAGCTTTTGAACAATGAAAAAAAGAAAGTGGTGAAAGTTGTTCTAGGCTAGCAAATAGCATAAACCAAGAGAGAAGATGTAAAATGTCAGGGATTTTCAGGGAAATTCCGTATAAAAGCTGATTTGCTGGAATGCCAGAAAAACTCACATGACCTAAGATGTAGACAATAACTCAATATTTATACTTCCAATGTTTTGTGCTCTTTTTGTCTTCACTGACAATGAACTATCCGCCAAAAAGCTTGGTAAGATTGTAGGCTGCTTTATATGGCTCTGGGTTTTTAAAAGTCCAATAAAAAAACAATGTTTTTGGATATAGTTGAACAGCTGCTGTAAGGAATAAGATTAGCAAATAAGTTCAAATGTGCTGCTGAGGGTTATTTAATGCATTATATCAGTGTTAATTAAGGTATTATTAAAAGACTGACTGTTGCCTCTTGTATTCCTAGAATTTACACACACACACTTCATTAATCTTTGCCCTCCCTGTGGGATAAGCCACTGCACCTGTTCATCTTCATAAGCATTGGTTTTCCCTGCAATATCGCTGGCATGCAGCTCAAGACAAGCATGGATGATATGCAGTAGATCAAAGAGGAAACATCCTGGCATTGATAGGGATTTTACTTTCTCTTCATTTTGGTGATAAACCCTGGCCTTTTTAAAATTGCTATTGGAATATAATCCTAAGACATACTCATGAAATTCCTTTTACCATCATCAGTATCAAACATCCATTTTGTGTACCAGGCATATTTGCCAACATTTAGAATTTAAAACATGTGACAGTTGTACAAGTTTGGGGAGGATGTCTCTATTTTACACCATGGAAAATATGGCTGATCAGAGAACACATGAAACAGATAAGTAAAATATTGGCAATGTAGACAAACAACAGTATCATGTGCAGAGGATTATTTGTAAACATGGGAAACAGAATCTATCTAGAGATTCTTCGAGGTAAGACTTTAGAGCTTTGAAGGATAAAATAAATAAAAAGTAATAATAGTTATCTTTATGGAAGACGTACTCCATCAGACACTATTGGTATGAACTTAAGATATATTATTTCACGTAATTGCTATCGGTATTTATTTAAAGTCAAAATTTTCCTTTATAGTTGTAAAGCCTAAACTCCAATGATTAATTGTTTTGCCCACTGTCTCACAGCTAGTAAGCAGCAGAACTAGATTCAAATGTTAAGGGAATCTACATCTACAGACTGTGCTCTTAGTGACTATGTTGAATTATTTCTTTATTTGATAACAACTGGCTACTAGAAGAATTCCAACCATAACTTTCAATCAAAATAATTGACTGGACTTTCAGGGATTGTAAACACAGATTACATGCATCATGATATTTTGCTTCTGTGATGATTGGCTTATTAACATGTAGTTGCTAGTAGCATGAATTTCAAGGCAGATTGGGAGGCTAAGGAGTAATATCTTGTCATTCAGGAAGAGTTTACAGGGAAAATACTTGAGTTCCCCAAGCTCCAGTTTGGTCCTCAATTTTGTCGTGTCTGTTCAAAAGTGATCAATCTTTTGATTCAGAGGGATTCATTCTGAAGAGATAACTGTGCCCATTTAATAATGCTATGTTAAATGCAATTGTAAATCTTACGAGGATGGCCCAAGTTAGCTGAGCAGCATGTTCTTGTCCTATAGCATACAGTAATAAAAGAAACTAAATTATCATCTGAAAGCTGCTTAATATTCATGGAATATTAGTATTAGCAAAAGGAGTTGAATCAACGTGTCCATCTTTTGGAATATACCTTTCAAGTAGATAGAATGCAAATGATCAGGGCACAAGGCCTCTCCCAGAACAAAGGGAAACGCACTGACAAAAATCTTGCTTTTAGCCTCCTATTCATTCTGGGCTTTAAACAGGTCACTTAATTCATTTGAAAAGTTGCAACTTTCAGAAACATTCAAATTCTAATTGTACATTTTTGAAGTTATGTTCTTGTCATTATGATTGTACCCAAATGGTTGCACATTTTTAATGTGTCATAAAGTGCATTGTTTCCATGGATATCAAACTCCATTTGTTTCTGGATACTTTTTAAGAATGGCTTCCTCAAGAGCAAACACATTCGAAAGCTAGCAGAAGGCAAGAAATAACTAAGATCAGAGCAGAACTGAAGGAGATAGAGACACAAAAATCCCTCCAAAAAATCAATGAATCCAGGAGTTGGTTTTTTGAAAAGATCAACAAAATTGACAGACCACTAGCAAGACTAATAAAGAAGAAAAGAGAGAAGAATCAAATCGACGCAATAAAAAATGATAAAGGGGATATCACCACCGACCCCACAGAAATACAAACTACCATCAGAGAATACTATAAACACCTCTACGCAAATAAACTGGAAAATCTAGAAGAAATGGATAATTTCCTGGACACTTACACTCTTCCAAGACTAAACCAGGAAGAAGTTGAATCCCTGAATAGACCAATAGCAGGCTCTGAAATTGAGGCAATAATTAATAGCCTACCAACCAAAAAAAGTCCAGGACCAGATGGATTCACAGCTGAATTCTACCAGAGGTACAAGGAGGAGTTGGTACCATTCCTTCTGAAACTATTCCAATCAATAGAAAAAGAGGGAATCCTCCCTAACTCATTTTATGAGGCCAACATCATCCTGATACCAAAGCCTGGCAGAGACACAACAACAAAAGAGAATTTTAGACCAATATCCCTGATGAACATCGATGCAAAAATCCTCAATAAAATACTGGCAAACCGGATTCAACAACACATCAAAAAGCTTATCCACCATGATCAAGTGGGCTTCATCCCTGGGATGCAAGGCTGGTTCAACATTCGCAAATCAATAAACATAATCCAGCATATAAACAGAACCAAAGACAAGAACCACATGATTATCTCAATAGATGCAGAAAAGGCTTTTGACAAAATTCAACAGCCCTTCATGCTAAAAACGCTCAATAAATTCGGTATTGATGGAACGTACCTCAAAATAATAAGAGCTATTTATGACAAACCCACAGCCAATATCATACTGAATGGGCAAAAACTGGAAAATTCCCTTTGAAAACTGGCACAAGACAGGGATGCCCTCTCTCACCACTCCTATTCAACATAGTGTTGGAAGTTCTGGCTAGGGCAATCAGGCAAGAGAAAGAAATCAAGGGTATTCAGTTAGGAAAAGAAGAAGTCAAATTGTCCCTGTTTGCAGATGACATGATTGTATATTTAGAAAACCCCATTGTCTCAGCCCAAAATCTCCTTAAGCTGATAAGCAACTTCAGCAAAGTCTCAGGATACAAAATTAATGTGCAAAAATCACAAGCATTCTTATACACCAGTAACAGACAAACAGAGAGCCAAATCAGGAATGAACTTCCATTCACAATTACTTCAAAGAGAATCAAATACCTAGGAATCCAACTTACAAGGGATGTAAAGGACCTCTTCAAGGAGAACTACAAACCCTGCTCAGTGAAATAAAAGAGGACACAAACAAATGGAAGAACATACCATGCTCATGGATAGGAAGAATCAATATTGTGAAAATGGCCATACTGCCCAAGGTAATTTATAGATTCAATGCCATCCCCATCAAGCTACCAATGAGTTTCTTCACAGAATTGGAAAAAACTGCTTTAAAGTTCATATGGAACCAAAAAAGAGCCCGCCTCTCCAAGACAATCCTAAGTCAAAAGAACAAAGCTGGAGGCATCACGCTACCTGACTTCAAACTATACTACAAGGCTACAGTAACCAAAACAGCATGGTACTGGTACCAAAACAGAGATATAGACCAATGGAACAGAACAGAGTCCTCAGAAATAATACCACACATCTACAGCCATCTGATCTTTGACAAACCTGACAAAAACAAGAAATGGGGAAAGGATTCCCTATTTAATAAATGGTGCTGGGAAAATTGGCTAGCCATAAGTGGAAAGCTGAAACTGGATCCTTTCCTTACTCCTTATATGAAAATTAATTCAAGATGGATTAGAGACTTAAATATTAGACCTAATACCATAAAAATCCTAGAGGAAAACCTAGGTAGTACCATTCAGGACATAGGCATGGGCAAAGACTTCATGTCTAAAACACCAAAAGCAACAGCAGCAAAAGCCAAAATTGACAAATGGGATCTCATTAAACTAAAGAGCTTCTGCACAGCAAAAGAAACTACCATCAGAGTGAACAGGCAACCTACAGAATGGGAGAAAATTTTTGCAATCTACTCATCTGACAAAGGGCTAATATCCAGAACCTACAAAGAACTCAAACAAATTTACAAGAAAAAAACAAACAACCCCATCAAAAAGTGGGCAAAGGATATGAACAGACATTTCTCAAAAGAAGACATTCATACAGCCAACAGACACATGAAAAAATGCTCATCATCACTGGCCATCAGAGAAATGCAAATCAAAACCACAATGAGATACCATCTCACACCAGTTAGAATGGCGATCATTAAAAAGTCAGGAAACAACAGGTGCTGGAGAGGATGTGGAGAAATAGGAACGCTTTTACACTGTTGGTGGGATTGTAAACTAGTTCAACCATTATGGAAAACAGTATGGCGATTCCTCAAGGATCTAGAACTAGATGTACCATATGACCCAGCCATCCCATTACTGGGTATATACCCAAAGGATTATAAATTATGCTGCTATAAAGACACATGCACACGTATGTTTATTGCAGCACTATTCACAATAGCAAAGACTTGGAATCAACCCAAATGTCCATCAGTGACAGATTGGATTAAGAAAATGTGGCACATATACACCATGGAATACTATGCAGCCATCAAAAAGGATGAGTTTGTGTCCTTTGTAGGGACATGGATGCAGCTGGAAACCATCATTCTTAGCAAACTATCACAAGAACAGAAAACCAAACACCACATGTTCTCACTCATAGGTGGGAACTGAACAATGAGATCACTTGGACTCAGGAAGGGGAACATCACACACCGGGGCCTATCATGGGGAGGGGGGAGGGGGGAGGGATTGCATTGGGAGTTATACCTGATGTAAATGACGAGTTGATGGGTGCAGCACACCAACATGGCACAAGTATACATATGTAACAAACCTGCACGTTATGCACATGTACCCTACAACTTAAAGTATAATAATAATAAATAAATTAAAAAAAAAAAAGAAAATAGTTAACTTTTCTGTACATGTTTAATAGCTTGCTCCAGTAAAATTATCTTTACTTAATTTTCATGAGGAAATTTAAAATACCAATTAGTTAATAAACTAATTGAAATATTAAAATTATATTATTTCAAATTGAAAAAAAAAAAAAAGAATGGCTTCCTGGAGGTGATCTAGTATAGTTTACCACTCATGTACTTTCAATATGTTAAGAAAATGACCACTATATGCCACCATAATATGAGGTGGGCATGAGTTACTTCAATATGCATCTCTCCCACTACGCTTCAAACTGCACGGGAGTTCTATTTGAAAAGTAGCATTTCACTGATGGCTAGCACAGTGACTGATGCATAGCAGGTGCTCCTAAACATTTGTTGAGCAAATGAACGTAAGTCACGGTAATTTTCTGTCTCACTGTGATTTTTTTAATTTACCTTTTCAAAATTGAACTATTGTAATTATTTGCCTTATTATAAAATGACTTCATACTCATTGCAAAAACTTCCACCAATACAGAAATATATACTGTAAAGAATAAAAGTCTGACAAAATCCCTGCTCCTCTCCTAAGAAATGACTATTTCCATTTAAAGGACTGTTCTTCCAATCTTTATTTTCTCTGTGTGGTGTGTGTGTGTAGTTTTTACATGAGTGAAACCATATTATTTGGGCAGTCTTTTTCTATATAATATGATGTGAAGAAATTTCAATGCCAATACAGAGAAATCATCTTATCCTTTTGATGCCCATTTAGACTGTCATTATATAGATGTGTTACAATTTGTTCTAGTGCTTAATTGATGTACGTTTAGCTTAATTTCAATTGTAAAGAATGCCTCTTGCAGACCCATTTATGTGTACTTTTTCAGTATTTATGTATATTTCTACTAATGGCATAGCTGAATCAAAGAAATGCCTGTCTTAAATGTTGGCATAATTTTTTCAAATTTCTTTCATAAAGATTTTACAATTTAAACATCCACTAATAGTTAAGGAGTATCCTCAAACTGAAGTTTAATACTTCCACACAGTGAAAAGTTTCATTAACCTGTGAAATTAGCCTCAATGTTCCCCTAAACTTAATACTCTGATTAGTGAGATAACTCACATAAAGGAAGCATAATAATTGAATATGAGAAGGTAATAGCAATGCCCTTTTGATTTATAGGTGGATTTTTAAAGGCATAAGTGTTTAGAGTCTCTGAGGTAGTTAATTAACAAAAATCATTGATAACAATGATTTGTAAACATTGTTTGGAAAACAATATTTTTGAAAACCAATACTTAAGATTAGAGTGTATTAGGCCATGGAATTATAGGTGTTATAAAATAAGCTCTTTATAAGTTAAGGGTGATCTAAAATTGTGAAGATGAAGGGAAATAATCAACCATAACCATTAAAATAATTAAAACTTTCCACCTTGATTTTAGGCCCAAGTTTCTATGAATATTTATCCAACTGTACCCCCATTCTACTTGTTTCCTCTCATTATGAATTTGATAACAATCAAAACAATAGCAAAGTTTCAGAAATATTTTCTATGCACCAAACATACCTGTATCCTTTTATCCTTCTGTTTAGGAGCCTTCTGTAGACTTCCATGGATACAGAAAGTTTGGCAATAATATAGGTGATAAAAACTTATGCTGGGAGAAAAACAATCAAGTATTACTTCAAGAAAAAAAAAAAAAAAAAAAAAAAGGCTGGGCCCGGTTCATGCATGTAATGCCAGCACTTTGGGAGGATTGCTTGAGCTATATAGTCTCAGTAGTCCCAGCTACTTGGCCAGACAGGAAGTTAGGGGGAGTTAAGGTGGGAGGAGAGCTTGAGCTGAGCCCAGGGGATGGAAGCTGCAGGCCATGATTGTACCACTACACTCCAACCTGGGTGACAAAGAGAGATCCTCTTTCAAAAAAAGAAAAAAGAAAAGAAAAAAATGCATTTAATCTAGAATTTTGTAATGATGATGAAATGGTACTTTTTGGGAAG